CCCTTCCGTCTTTGCTTTTCAAGCAGCTGTTCACAAGCAAACAAATGCCGTTCAACATTTCTCGGCTTCAACTCGTACGGTACTTAATTTCCTTGCTTCTGAATCATTCCCATGGCTTTGAGACATTTTGAAATGGCTGGGTGAGTCACTCTTAATGATCGTGCCAATTTTTTTTGATTTTGATAAGAGTCTTGATCAAGTAATGCCTTCAATTCTGCATCTTCGAAAATCTTCTCTCTTCCACCGCTATGTTGGTCTTCGACGTGAAAATCACCGTTCTTGAAGTGTTGAAACTATTTATGACACGTTCTTTCACTAATAGCGGCTTCACTATATAATAAATATTTGAAAGCATTCGATGAGCCTCAGCCGCAAATTTCTTCATATTGAAGCAGAAAATTAAAACCTCCCGCAAATGACAAGAATTTGGCTCGTAAACTGACATTTTCAATCGAGAATAACTTTATGATGCAGACACAAATCGACTAATGTTTCTATGGGATTATGTTGACAGATGCCCAAGTTTATTGTGTGACGTCTATGATCTATTTATTTCGATCACCACTTACCGCTAAAGCTATCTATACGAAAACCGAATGAGCAAAGTCATACACCTAATATAATATGTGTTTCTACCCAAGTGTCAGGTCATAATCAATCACAAAGTTTTATATTCAATACAAAGATTTATATTCAAATTAAGCCTTGTCATTAATACAATGGTTATATTTTAGAATAAACTGTCGTTGCTTGTGGGATGGTCAAACATTAGCAGAGCTTCATGTTTAATAGTTTATCCAATAATACAGTTCAATATAACAGTTCAACGAAAGCATGTTAACTTTCATGTCTCACTTTAAATTCACATTATAGTTAATTGATATTCGTTCTTTATTATGTAAGTCAATTTTATTATATAAACATCGACGTTCATCGACAGTGAAGTACATTCCATAATTTATTGTTGCAATTGTTTTTTTATTTATAAATTTCTATTGTTTTTTTAATCAGAATTTACTATTTTATTGTTTTTATTGTAACAAGCTATTAAATTAAAGTCTTCAAAGTGTGTTTTCTATGGCTAGTATACATTTTTGGAATTTAAAGTGAGGTAGATATACTACGTTTGTTGAAAGCGAGAAATAGAGTTCTAGTGCAGTCTAGTGCAGGAATAAAAAACATATCATTTATTATTTGACTATAAGCACCTCACTTACAAGCTTTACATCTATTAGTTTTACATCTAGAAAACGACATACTAGTGATGGGCATAATTGACCATTCTGCGAAATTGAATTAAATCGATTATGTTGCGAATCCAAATCGATTATAATCAATTATTCTTTTGAGATAATTGATTAATCAATTTATAATCGTTCAATTAAAGCTGTTTTCTTTTTTATTAGCCTATTGAAAAGCAATTAAAGTAAATTATAACTGAATTAAAAATCTTCATTTCTTTATTCGTACATATTTGCGTATAAACTTCTTTAGAATACAATTTTTTTGTAATTAAAATGTGTTAAAATAAAAGTTTTTTTAGAATACAAGTTTAGATTACTTTTTTAGATTACAAGTTTGTAATTTTTATTTAAAAAACTTAAAATTTTTACATTTTTAGGAGACAATTTCTTCATTCAGAAATAATATATCCAGTCGCAGAGAATAATCGTTTTACTGGCACAGAACTGTCAGAAGTACATAAATATTTCTTCAAAGTTATTAGATAAATTTCTAGATAGATTTCTAATTTTCAAATAATGCATCGGTTCTTCAAACAGATTAATATTTGGATATGATAGAAAGTTTCTAACTAAAATGATATTGTTTACACTGCACAAGATGAAAAGAATTTTCTATGAAACTAAAGATATCAGTAGACTTAATGCTCAAATGAGCATGAGGGTTCACAGTCTGTGTGACATTATATAGACAACACATGTGTGTGGCTACTTCGGCCGCGCTAGATCATCGACTGATAGCGTTAGTCGTGATGTTGTAAATTGTTCCTGATTTGGTATTGGATGTAAGAATTTAGTAAGTTTAGATCTAGGTGTTTTAAACCTTAAGGCTCCTGATTACTTAAAGCCATGACATATAAAAAAACTTAAGACGTAAGACTTAGTAAGCGAATCGACCAATCACAGTCAAGCAGTAAAACCATTTTGAACTTAAGACTTAAAATTTAACGTTGAAAAATTTCGTAAGGATGAAATTCCTACGTCTTATGGCTTATGGTCCTTATAGTTAATCAACCACAAGCGCATTTCCTTCAAATTCCGAGAAGCGCACTGGTATATACGTGTTAAAACACGAAAGCACAGTTTGTTTTGTAGATTATATTTCAGTGTCAATAACGAAGAAAAAAATGGGTGAACATGAGTATTCTTCTTAAGAATATTCTTCAGTTAATGATTTAAACGAAGATAATCAGTTTAATGACGGGTTTAATCTAAGAAAATATTCATAAAGATAGTGATGAATTATTAATAGATGCAATAAGAGAATATCCGCATTTATATAATTCATCTCTAAAAGATTACAAATGAAAGAAAACTTGTGAAGAGAAATTGCATTATTAATGGATATGTTAAATAAGATTTAAAATTGTATAATTCTTTATGATGTATTTAATGCAAACACACACTACACACGCACGCATGCACGCGCGCACGCACACGCATACGCACACGCACACACACACACACACACACGCACACGCACACACATACGCGCGCGCGCGCGCACACACACACACACACACACACACACACACACACACACACACAAATATAAAAGATAAAATTATTATTATAGTTGCGGATTGTCAAAATCGATGGTTACGTTTATATGAGCAATTTACCAGAGAAAAACGATTTCGAGAATTAGAAACGCGAAGTGGTAGTGGGGCCTCTCGTCGCATCACATTTACTTTATACAAAAATATGTTATTTCTGGAAAGTCATATTAAAAGAAGAAAGTTAGATTAAATTAATTGCAAATACATAATAAGTGAATGCTTACAAAATAATAATAATTAATTTTTATTTTCAGATATTATTCAAATGTGACTAATTCGATTGTAAAAATTCAAAAAATTAATTCATCGAAACTGAATACACTATCTCAAAACATAAATATGGACACCATTGAAAATGTACCATCTGAATTCATTTCTGGTACAAAGTTAAATAATTCTCTTTCAAATTATCTGTTTCGCTACAACGTCCAAAGCTTATCAATTTAAATACTAACTCCGCATTGCATCTTCATTCTAATACTGTGCAACCAAAAATATCTACAATACAATCAGAGATAACCTGTAAGACAAATTTTACCTGTTTCTTCAATTCTTGAAAACGAGGCATTTGGAACTTGTGAACAAGTACAGAAATATAATGATTTATCACAATGTGAACCTCAATGTGAAAATGGTAATTTGTCCAACAAAAGTCAAAATATTTCAAAAGATAGTACATCATCTCTTGCACCCACATTGCAAAAATTATAAGGAAGTAAACCTAACTAGAAAAATAAAAATAACACATATTTGGAACATTCTCTTACAATTTTAAGTGACTCTCTTCAAAAGCGTATGAATAATCAAGAAACTTCTCCACAAAGTATTTGGTATTCTCTTACTTGATCCCTGATAAAAGCTTTGGTCTGTTAGTACCAACAGAATTAGAAAACTCATCCGAACCCGAGAAATCAAAACGGAAACAAGCTATTGTGAAAATTTTGTATAAGCCATGTACATAATTGTACTTCGGTGCAATCATATTATATGTTCATATAAGCTATAATAACAGTAACAATATATCTAATAAAATTTGATGTCTCCAATACCTGAAGATATGCGTTGATTCAATTTGTGTTATAAAAATTTCATATTATTATATACTAATTCTACATTTATCCGTTTTTGTCGACAAATATTTTAAGTGTGTTAATTGGCTGCAGAAGAAAGAGGTATTCAAATCTTTCTATTCTATAACCAATCAACAGACTTTTTTTTTGATATCGGAGGGGAAATGCCTAACGCATACCCCGGGTAAAAGAAGAGAGCTTGGGGTTATGTGGGGCTTGTACCCACTAAAACCCCTCCGGGTGTCCTGAACGGGCCATAGCTGAGGGGCTCCCAGGAACGCGTGCAGCATTCTTCTTCTGGGAGTCCCTCTGGCCAGTCGACTGTTGCCGAGTCAATCCCTCCTGGGGTTTCGTCGGAGAAACCGCCCCGGGCGGCGCGTGGCACGGACTG